TATAAACGAAAATTTAGATTTTTAAATTAAGAGAGGTGAAGAGTTTTAGAATTTTGGTTATATACATATATATGACAGAAAATGAATGACATATATATTCGTGATCTACGACTCGAGATCGGTGCTCTTTACATGCTCCCAGGTCTAGGTCCCACCATGAGGGAGAACGCAATAGTGTATCTTTCCTTCGGAAAATACACTAAAACGGAACCTTCACGATTGCAGTGTTTTCAAAATTGTGCAATTTCTTCTTTTCATTCAAAAATATTTAATATATGTACAGTTTTAAAATTTACAATTATTTCTATCTAAAATTAATAAGTTTATGGTGGGAGGCAAAAACTTCCTGCTATTCTGGGACATTATTTAGATAAATAGGTATGAGGAAGCATCATTTTTAGAACACTGTGATCGCGCTGGTTCTTTTTTGCCATATGAGATTCAAATATCACTAGCAGTGTTAGTGGCTTTTCTGATTGATAACTGATTATTCTGATGCATGCTGGTAAATTTTCGATGGAACAGGTGACTTCAAAACTGAAATTTCAAGAAAATGGATCTAAAAATTTGAGTGCAGAAATCAGTCCATTCGTTTAAATCAGATTAAATCAGTCAGATTTTGAGGAGAACGTGATCTCGTTTTGGTCGTCAACACTTCCTTTAAACAACATCAGCACAGCTTCTGTATCAGTAAGATTAGAGCCATGGTGTTTTTAGCATTTTCCAAGAAATCACTCGGAAAAAATTAAATTGCCGATTTAACAATTTTGTAGCTAAAGTGTGTGCCAAAAACCTTTCAATGTAGATTTTACAATGAAAAAATGTACATGTAAATGTAAAATGTTGCATTATTGTAAAATGGACATTTGAAACATGTCGGAAATATTTTTCAACAATTTAATTGTTAAATCAACAATCCATTTTTTTCCGTGCATTCCTCAGTCTGTGCAGACAATGAGTAGTAGATGCAAGGAAATCATTTGCTCGTTTTTATGTAGCACAGTTTTACCAATTGCCTATTTGATTAGTTTTTTTATACTTTGTGCTTAACTATTTTTCTGCGTTTGCAGGTTTAAAATATATATCAAAGCCGGAAAGTACAAGGAGCAAGTGAAAGTGAGCAAGAAAAAAATGAATCTAATGCTTATTGGAGATGGGGTTGGAAAGACGATCATAACGGGCAGTAAGAATGTTGTTGATGGCTCGACTACTTTTAGATCAGCCACATTTGGTAAGTTGGATTATTCCCCTTTTAATAAGGTATAAAAACAATTTTCCCCCTTTTGAATAGGGTGTAAAGACATTTTTTCCCCTTTTGAATAGGGTGTAAAAAAATGTTTCCCATTTTGAATAGGGCGTAAAAACATTTTTCATGATGTGGTCACAAACAACATACTCGACCTTTTCTTTAAGTTAAAAAAAGTTCTCCTCTGGTTTCATTCACGACGTATCGATGGTGAAACTTTAGAGAAGCTCATCTCGGTTTGCAGCGTTGCGAATTTCCTGTCATACTTTATTTTCTACGCGGAAAACTACCGAATGTTGAAACCTGAAAACCTTTTCTTGAAAACTTCAATGATTTTTATTCCATAAGTGATGAATATTCTGTGACAGTTTTAAGCCGTAATGTTTGCTCGCTGTCTCCTTTTGAAAAATGAAGTATGACCAGAGATTTTGGAACAATGCAATCGAGATACGCATTGTTGCAGTTTCGCCGTTTGTTGTGCTGCTGTAATTTATCAGCGAGAATTTATTTCGAAATTTTTAAAATACTCGCCGATTTTTCTGCCAAATTTCTGCAGCATGAGGTAGTATCTTTCTTGGAAATATCTCTGACAATAAAGAATTTGCAGACGTCTGAAATTTGGTAAACGCGTTTGAACAAAGAGAACTGAGCACAAGAATATCCTTGGTCTCCAAATTAAACAATTATTGGAGGGAATATAGCAAAATAATCGACTCTGCCAAAACAAAAGTGTTTAAATGGACCGCATTTTAAAGAAGGAACCATTATTTCTGGCTCATTTTAGAAACAACATATATATGCCATTGGTTTCCCTGAACAGAAAGGCGCTTTTATGGAAGAGCCAGAGATAGTGGCTCCATATTACAAAATCTAATCCAAACGGGAAATGCCGCCAGATCACGTCACAAGGCGGTACGTTTTCTCACTTTAAAATCTACTTTTCCACAATTTTTCAGAAAAAAATTTTGAAATAAAATGCAAACTTTGCTTATCAAGCGCTCTCAAATGCAACAATGCAATTTTTTCATGCAGTTTCTCCATTTTTCTCCGAGTGGGACTAGTGCGCCACCTCAAAACATGTGGATCGCATTTAGCAAAAATGAACCAGAAAAATTACAGTGTTGTTAAAATGTTGCTTCTTCATAATTATCTAAAACAAATCCCAAAACAGCAAATAGTACTTGCATCCCATCAAAAAATTGTCAATTTTAAAGGGAAATAATTGTGTTAATTTTAATACCTATTGTACATATACATATTTAGTATTTTTAAAAGAAAAAAAGAATTTGCACGATTTTGAAAACACCGTAATCACGCTGGTTCCTTTTTGGTAAATGCGATCCATGCTCGGAGAAAAAAAACTTGTTACTGAGGTTTGGATCACACATCTGAAACTTCAGTTCTTACATCTGAAGTGCTTCGGTTTTCACATCCAAAAAACTTCGGTTCTCACATCCGAAAAACCTCGGTTCTCACATCAGAAGTACTTCAGATGTAAGAACTGAAGTTTCAGATGTGTGATCCGAACCTCGACAGCTAGACCTAAAGTGCTCAGATGCTCAATCCGAAAACTTCAGAGATTCACATGACCTTAACTTCGGGTCCCACGCACGAGTTTTTTTTTCTCCGTGTGTGATGTTTCTATTGCCACTTTTTTGTTTTGATGTGATTTATTTTGCTGAACTCAGTTTATATCCATCCCTCCTCTCCCCCCTGACTTCAGAAAAATGATGAAAATCTTCTTTTTCTCCTTCTTTTTTATAGCTGTTTCAGGGGCAGGCTTCATAGCCAAAGGCATAACCTTCGAAAACACGGCCGGCCCCGAGAAGCACCAAGCCGTGGCGGTGAGAAACAGCGCCGACCTCTCAGTATTCTACAAGTGCAGCTTCCATGGTTTCCAAGACACACTCTACACCTTCTCCAACCGCCAATTCTATCGGGAGTGCGACATTTTCGGAACCGTCGACTTCATCTTCGGCAACGCAGCGGCAGTTTTCCAGAAGTGCAATCTGCGCGCCCGGAAACCCGGCGAAAAGCAAAACACTCTCGTCTACACCGCGCAAGGGCGGAAGGACCCCAACCAGAACACCGGGATATCCATCATAGACTGCAAGGTGGATGCCACGAGGGATTTGGCGCCTATCAAGGGTCAATACAAGGTCTACCTCGGTCGCCCGTGGAAGCAGTATTCGAGGACGGTCTACATCAAGTCTTACCTGGGGGACCTGATTAATCCTAAGGGATGGTTGGAGTGGAACGGGAATTTTGCCTTGAATACGCTGTACTACGCGGAGTATCAGAATAACGGCCCAGGGGCAAATACGAAGAACAGGGTTAAGTGGGGAGGTTACAAAGTTATTACGAACCAACAGGAGGCCGCTAAATTTACCGTCGATCAGTTTATACAAGGGAACAAATGGTTGCCTCCCACTGGTATTCCGTATTCCGCTGGTTTGAGTTAAGTGGTTTCGTGGTTAAAATAGCGAATGAGGGGAGGACAAGACGCATCAGAGCAGTGTTTGCTGTTTCAAGAAATACTGGTTTGGTGTTCTGAAATTACATTGATCCTTACGGCGAAAAGAAAGCCCAAACTGACTTTTTGATGATTGGAAATTGAAATTTGAGAGCGAATTTTCCACAGAATATACGTTAAGACTAGTTTTACTTGTTATCATTAATATCTCAATCATTTCAAAAACTGCACCTATGCGCCTTGTCCTCCAAGCAAGCCCCTCGAATACGCAATTTTTTTTCTTTTCTTTCAACATTACCTATTATATCACTCGGTTCTGCACCGCGGTTCTTTATTTCGACTTTCCAGAGAGCTGATAATATCATGTGAACGGAACTAACGAGAAGGTGCCAACCTGCATAACACCACTGCATTTTTATTGGAATGTAATAAATACATTTACGAAATTTTAATTCCAAAATTGCCTAAGAAAACAAAATAAAATAAAATGTGAAAAAAAATTAGACAACACGCAATATAGTTCTGCCAATCTTGGTTAATGCATATCGATGGTGAAACTACCAAACCACGTATCTCGTTTGCGGTGTTTAAAAATCTACGCTCAAATTTTATTTTTTTGAAGAAGACCAAATCAATATCATTCCTTGAAATTTTCACAGAATATTCTCCGCACAAAGAGGAAAAATCACCGAAATTTTCAAGACTAGACGTTAAGTAGTTTTTCATTTAAAAAATAAAGTGTGACAGAAAGTCTGCGACGTCGCAAACCGAGATACGTGGTTTGGTAGTTTCACCGTCGATATGTTCTATGGTGAAAAAATTTTCTTGCCCACACTAGAAAAAAAAAAAAAAA